GTTTCTCTTTCGGTATAGCTCTTTTTTAGTGTTGTTTGGTGGGTTAGAAACCATAGATAACAGGAGCTGAATAGGAGGGCTTTTGGGCGGATCATGGGGGTGGTGGGCATAATTTGTGGATTGGTGCAATTGTTCGATTCAACCTTAGCATGAATAACGGCATGCTTCATGAGCTCATCATAGGTGGTCCAAATGCTACTGTGGACTAAGTAACGGAAGTTCGCTTCATAGGTATAGGTGGTCCAAATGCTATTGTAGACTAAGTAACGGAAGTTCGAGTCACGAAGGCCACTATTGGGCAAGTCCATCAAGTTGTGGCTCCTTTTAATACTCAGAGTTAGTCCTAAAATAGGTTACCCTTTTGAAATAGAGTCAAACTCAAATCATTGAAGGGAGAATGTACCTTCTGGTTTGCTGTATATTCCTTCTTGTTTTGTTCGCCAATCCAATTCATCTTCCAAATACAGAAAGAAAAAAGAAAGCATCAATTGTATAATCACAAATCAAAACACATGTATAATCACAAATCACTTTCGTCCGTCCGTCCCATATGGATTGCAATAATTAAACATAATTAAAGAGGCAAAGCATATATACCACATCAACGGGCCCTAATCATTTTTTGAGCTTTTTTCGTACCATCCTATTATTCACAAATTTACAGGCTACAGCCAAATCATTTTATTTTTTCAGACTCAACAAAGGTAAGCCTCAAGTTTCGAAATCATAATCCCTTAACTGGAAAAAACGAATTCATAATCATAATCCCTAAACCCTATGACAAAGAATTACGAAACAAACCAATAAAATATGTAAAGGTATCTTAAAAAACAAACAAACAAAAAGAAGGGAAAGGAGAGAAAAGGACCAGTAAAGGTTGCACGAGATTTATATTTCCAGCAAATGAGAATAAAAAAAAAAGGGGCCAATATAAAGCCAGCATTTCTACAAATTATATCCAGCAAAACTATACAGAGAAGAGAACGAAGTCAGAAAGAAGTATTTGAGAAAAACACATCACCTGTGCAACATGTTCCAGAGAAATAGCCACAGGAGCAAATGGAGCCCGTACCTTAATCTCTGGACAACAAACCCACTTACTCTTTTTCAAGTGGAAAAAAAGAAACACTCGCCAGGCCGCGCAATTTTGTCCCACATCGACAAATTATACTTCGGTGGTGCTATTTATATAATCAGTTCTACGAGAATCCATTGCCGAGTCAGGTCACGCTGACTTTTGACCCAAAGTGGGGGCAATAAGGATGGCATGGAAGGGAAGAGTGTGTAACGTCGTCTGCATGAAATCGGTGTCAGACGTCATATGCGAGGCGCAAATTTGGCCCAGAGATGCTTTGGGGTTGGGGCAAGATTGTGGGTTTCTAACCCTTGTCGCAGAATGGAGAGTGGGAGAGGTGGCTTTGCAAAAATGCCGCTTTGCCTGTAATTAGGTAGAGGTCTTCCGTCGCTGACAACGAAGTGGAAAGATCACACGTCTTTGGTAGCGTTTGGCCCCGCTTAAATTTTAAAAAAAGTGGCTTTAATAAAAATTTGGCATGAGTTGGGTGTTTGGTAAACCCAAAAAAACACGCTTATTTTAAAAACACCCATCATAAAAAGCAAAAACTCAAAGTCGCCAATACCCAGCTTTCAAAAGTTGCTTAAAAAAAGAGCCAGTTTTTTGATTAATGAAAGTTTCATTATTCCTATAATGCCCCTAAACATTTTACGAAAGGACAACGTTTGTCCCTCTCACAAAATAGAT